GAGGCTATAAATCTTTACAGGAGCAGATGGAGAAAAGATTGAAGTTGTCAAAGACTTCATTTTCTTGGATCCACAATCAACATTCATGGCAGCAGCAGTAAAAAAATCAAATGGCATGTTTGCATTAGGCAAATCTGCTGCATATGATCATTAAACTGTTCAAAAGCAAAGATGTCAGTTTGAGGACTAAGGTGAGCCTGACCCAAGCCAAGGTATTTTCATTTGCCTCATATGCATGCGAAAATGAAAATGAGCTCTGGTAGCGTAGTGTTTATGAATCAGGCTGCTAATCTCATGGTCAGCAGGTCAAAACTACCAGCTGTTCTGGGGGAGAAAGACGAGGCTTTCTGCACCCATAAAGATTTACAGCCTTGGAAACCCTGTACAGGGTCGCTATGAGTTGGAACTAACTTCACAGCACATAGCAACCAACCAAATAGTAATGAAGAATTATATTTTCATCAAATTCTTTACTGAAATTATCATCCAACTTCTAGTTCTCCCGCTTCACAGGGAGAGGGTAAGGAGGAAAAAGGGGCAGGTTCGGCTTGAGATACTTTTGGGCTAAAGAGTAACTTGTTTTCGTTAAGTGTTATCAAGTCAGTTTTGACTCATAGCAACACTATATAGGGTTTCTGAGGAGCTGCTGGTGGGTTTGAACCACCAACCTTGAGGTTAGCAGTCTAGTGCTTATCCTATAGCACCACACCAGAACCTCCCCAAAGAGTATATTTACCTGGTGTGCCATTGTGGGTTAATGCACTGGACTGCAAAGTCAGTTTGAACCACAAGTTTGGTGCTTCAAGTTCACTAGCCGCTCCTCAGAAACCCTATACAGGGTCGCTATGGGTCAGAACTGACTCGACGGCACTTAAAAACAACAATCATATAAATTCACTTTCAAATAACACCATACCACTTCATGGTTACTATTGTTGTTGTTGTTGAGTGCTGTTGAGTCAATTCCGACCCATAGCAACCCTGTACAAGGGTTTCCAAGGAGCAGCTGGTGAGTTTGAACCGCC